AAATGCCTCCTGGATTTGCTCCTCAACCTCCTGTAGTAGTGATGGAAGTAGGCAAAGGAGTTACTGTATAGATGAGAACTTTTTTGGGGGGTGGGAGGGAGATACTGTTTTGTTTTAGAAGGACAATTAAAGCCTCTGAAAGCCAAGTATCCAGCTTTGACAAGTGCCATCCAGACCCTCTTTCAGGGTTCTCTGTATTTTGCTCAACCTTGCTGGACTATGGACCAGAATCTTGGCTCAAGAGGTGAAGAGGTCATTTCTGGGCCCTGGAGCCTCCAAAGTTTTTGCAGAAATGGGTGTACTCTGGTACTTAGGGGAGCAAATAAAGCAGATGGAGTGTGCAATGTGGTCAGGACACAGGCCCTACTGGTGCAGGCATTTAGGGAGAAGGTTTAGGGAAGGGGCCTCTGGCTCAGGCCTACTCTCTGGGGCAAAGATGCCCAACGCTGAATTTTCAGTTTTTCTTGTGCCAGCCTCCTTCTCAGGCTTCAAAAGGATCCCGCATTGAATCCTACCCTCTCCCTGAAACAGAGCTGACAAAAATATAGGAATGATGAAAAATCAAAACAGGGGTGGGCTGGCTGAATCCTATCCAAATGGGACTTTTGCGGGGCGTGGGGAGGGGTTAGGTGAGGAAAAGAGAAGGTTCTGGCTAAAAGTCGAGCTAGAGAGGATGAGCTGAATCAAATTCCTGCTCTGTCATTTTTCTCCCAAGTAATGACCTACGCAAAATTCAATATGACCGAGCGAACTGCGCGAGCGTGTTATAGTAACTGCCTGCTCGTGGGGGAGGCCCGGAGAGGGGTGAACCGCAGGTCACGGCGTCTAAAAATTATTAAAATGTTCGAGAGCCTCGTGACGCGCCTTGCTGTTTAACAAAGACTGCCAAAGTATGAGATTAATACGAAAAACTTGCGCTTCAAAAACAAAAACACATCAAAAAAAAAAAAAAAAGTCTTGTTCCGGCCTGCGAGGGGGCCCGTGGCTCCTCTGCCCGCAGCCGCGGTTCGGTTTTCCGGACACACAATAGTGGACAAGAGCGAGCTCAGCTGTTGCCCAGCGGGTCCGCGGGCGGGTCGGCGGCCGGGAGGGTGCGGGTAGCGGCCCGGTGAGTACTCTTGCCCTCTTCCCCTTTCGGCTTTCCTCTCCTCCACCCCGCTGCTGATGCGCTCGGGAACCGCGGCTGCTGCACCCTTTGGTTTCCCTTCCTCGCTGCGTCCCTTCCTCCCCGCCGACAAAAGGTGGATGATTCCTGGCGGGTTGGGCACGCCCAGGGCGGCGGGAGGGGGGCTGGGCAGCAAGAGGTCATACCAGCAACCTGTGGCTGCCAGGATAAGGCGGCCGGCCAGCCGCGGAACCCCCGGGAGCGAAGGGGAGATGGTTCCAAACGCGCGCGAGCCCCTGTTCTTATTTTATTATTATGCGCATTGCTGTTAGTATTCTGGGGGTAAACGGAAGAGGCAGCCTCCCGCTCCAGCGAAACTCGTCCTGGGAGTGGCTGATAAACCCTGTCCTCCACCTCTGGCGGCTGGAAGAGGGGCTGCGGCGTTTTGGTGGGATTGGCAGGTGGCTGCTCCCAGTGCGCAGAAGAGAAAATCTTTGCTCTCTGGCCCTAGGATCAACCATGCCCGACCCCACAGTGGTTCTGCCCCCCATTCCTGTCTCTTGGGGTGCTCTGGGTACCTGGGCCGTATCCCTTGTGAAGTGTAGAGCAACAGAGAGGCCCAGCGGCGGGCCAGCCGCCTTCGCAAATTTCCGAAACGCGGACGGGTTGGACGGGTTTCCGAGAGCGGGCGAGTTGAGAAGGACAGGAGATATGGGGTGGGGGAGGGGCCTGGCCGGTTGGAGTGGGTCCTGGAGACCCTGAGTGGCCTTTGGGAAGACTTGGAAAGGTCTTTGCTTGACACTAGGGAGCTGGTGGGGATCCTAGCAGCACATTTTGTCTGTGGGCCTAGGGCCAGACTCCAGTCTTCCTGGGTGCCCCAAATGGGGGTCTGAGATTACCTATTGGATCCCTCTTGGTAAAGATAGCAGCTACAGTGTAATAGTTTGCTTTTCTTCCCCCAAATATGTATGAGTCCAACCTGGCTGGGAGTGTTAGTGTTAGAAATCGGGCCCAGAGGCCAACATTGGCAATGCCTAGATTTGGGATTTTAAAAAATCAGAGCGTCTCTGGACTTAGTTGTGGGCAAGTGGGAGCTCTCCTCCCACCCACCTGCAAGGGTCCCAGGACTGGGGTTGGGCAGAGACCTCTGGAGTGTGGTAGTCAGAGGGTTGTTTTTGTTTTGTTGCTGTATTTGTGAATTAAATTGACATTATTCTGACTTGCTCACTAGGGATGAAAGTATTTCTCAGATCTAGAGATTTAGGTAGGGAGTCTGCCTGCGGAGGAGGCTTCTGTGCACACTATCTCACAGTTGCAGATTTCACAGTCTAAGCCTCAGTACCCTCCAGTCCAATCCCCAGTTTCCCAGTTTAGTAAATTCACCAGTTCCTGGGAACCCCAGGAAGTCAGTTCAGAAACCCCAGATCCCCATTTTGGCTCCACCACCAGTAACCCAAGCAGGTGTCTGGGCAAGTTTGTGTCTTTAGACCGAGAGGACCCGCCTGAGGCTAGGGAGGTGGAGAAATGGGGTTCCTCCCCACACCTCCTGGGGATTGTCTCCCTCTTCTGGCCCCCAGGAGGTGTGGGAGGCTGGGAGGGGCCAGCATATCATCTGGCTGCATCTTTTATGGTTCCTCATTACCCTTCATTCGGAAATGAAACGCCTTTGATCTTTTTCTCAGGTTGTAAACGGAATTGCCCGTCATTAAATATCCGGGGCCCCATCTGCTTGGTCTCCCAGCATTTTTCTTTACAGCTGTTTCTCTCTCTTTTTACCATTGAATTTTTCCAAAAGGACTTTTATTACACCCCCTTCACACCCAGCCTCCTCTCCCTCCTGTCTTCACTGAGAGGCGCTTTGGAAAATATCTAGATATTCGTTTGATCGCAAACTAAAGGCTTGGAGGGGGCACGGAGGAGCCGATTGGGGTTTTGTTTTTTCTTTAAAAAAAGAAAAAAAGTCCTGGGGGGAGGGGAGGGGAGCGAGGGCACCCAGAAAGGCCTGAATCTGACTTCGCGGCAGCCTCAGAATGACCCTTCCTCCTTTTGTGCTTAGCTAATGTTTACATCTCATAATTCATGCGCCACCGAGAGTTGCACAGCGGCCGCGAGTTTCGCGTCCCTTTGCGAACCGGCTGCTTCTATTTCTCTCTAATAGAAGAGGAGACTTGAAAACCTTGTAATCCCAAGAATGGACCCGCAGTGCCTTTTTCTGCTCCCAGAGCTCAAAACTAGAACAAAACGAAATAAAATCAAAGCATTCAAACCACACCCCAAACGAAGAACGCGCGGAAAGTAGGAGAACTGGAAAATTTCTGGGCCAAGAAGATCTGTCTGTCTTCTGTATATACCCTGTAGATCCGAATTTGTGTAAGGAATTTTGTGGTCACAAATTCGTATCTAGGGGAATATGTAGTTGACATAAACACTCCGCTCATTTTTTTCCAGAAGAAAAATGTATCTATTATTTTTCTAAATGAGGACAATCCGGTGACTGACCACGCGAAGATTCCTTCCTTTTTCTTTCTTCCTCTTTCTTTTCCTCCCTCAACTGGTTAGAGACGGAGGAATCATCTACCTGGACTCTCTTCATGCCTGCCCCTGGGAGCCTGGGTCCTTTTCACTTTCCTTAAGAGGTTAATGTTGCTGATGATGTTTTTAATTTATCCTTTTGCCCGAAGCCCACCTATTTTCTATTCTGGGCTCAGCAAGGCTTTATTGCAAATTCCCCCAAAACGACTGTTGTCTTCAGTGTGCTAAGGCAAAGGAAATTCGCTTTTCAAACGGCTGCTGAAGTCGCTTTTCCATTTGGGTTCAGAACAAGATGCCCTAGACATACGCGATTTAGGGGCGGGGTGGGTGTTATTGTTTGTGGGGGGCACCTCTGGTTCTCCTATCCCCAGCATCACAAAGATGTGAGATTTCTACTCGCCGCGGAGACGGCGGCATTAGCGGCTATTAGAACGTCTCAGCGCCATAGTTAGTATTGCTCCGGTGGTTCTGCAATTAGCAAATTGCTACCCAATTTTGCTCTCAAAAGTTGCAAGTTTTTTACTCCAGGGCTCATCTTTAGTGTGGGATACCAAGTCTTTTCTCCCGGCTTGGGCCATGTGGGGGGTAAAGGGAGGAGTGGATAGGAGAAGGGGTTCAGACGGACTGACACAGCCAAGCTAATCGCGCAGCTAAATGCGATTTGGAAGGCGAGGTCTCCCCGAATTAGTGCATGAATTTCCTATCGATCCGCCCGCAGTTCCATTCATCTCTGACAAGTCCCTCTGCGCACCCGCCCTCTAGCTCTCGATGCCTTCTCCCTCATCCCTTGCCCCTCCCATCCCATCCGGCTGCAGAGAAAAGCCCCAAGTTCTGTGCCCCTCGCCCCCATATGTGTTCCCCTTTCGAGGCGGAGCCCCCAACCCACCGATCACTTAACTCCCCAACACAGATGCAGGGTGCGTGGGCTCCCTCCCGCCTTGGAGAGGAGGTGGGGGGCTATGGAAGGCAGAGAATGCTGGGCAGAGGTGAGGCAGGACAGGAGGGGCTACACCCGGAGCCCCAACTTCTGAGCGGACACAGGGATTGCGCTTTACCCAGCGCCCCAACAGGCCCTCCAGTCGCAACCTGCTCGCGCCCGGCGAGAGCTTTCTCTCTCTCTCTCTCATCCCAAAGAGAGCAAGGCGAGGAGGGGGTCGCCCCTCAGGAGCCCTATGTAAATCCTGGTGTTGGGTGGGTGGGGAGGGGGAACAGAAGGGGAAATAAACCTCTTTGGCTGGAGTAGGGTCCGGGTGAGCAGATTTCCTTATCCGGGAATCGCAGGCGGGGCGGCCATTGGCTCGGAGGATCACGTGGGCCCCTAACTTTGTTCACTTGACAGTAAGTAGGAGGGCTTTCGGAAACAGGAAAACGAGTCAGGGGTCGGAATAAATTTTAGTATATTTTGTGGGCAATTCCCAGAAATTAATGGCTATGAGTTCTTTTTTGATCAACTCAAACTATGTCGACCCCAAGTTCCCTCCGTGCGAGGAATATTCACAGAGCGATTACCTACCCAGCGACCACTCGCCCGGGTACTACGCCGGCGGCCAGAGGCGAGAGAGCAGCTTCCAGCCGGAGGCGGGCTTCGGGCGTCGCGCGGCGTGCACCGTGCAGCGCTACGCGGCCTGCCGGGACCCTGGGCCCCCGCCGCCTCCGCCACCACCCCCACCGCCCCTGCCACCGCCCGGGCTGTCCCCTCGGGCTCCTGCGCCGCCGCCGGCCGGGGCTCTCCTCCCGGAGCCCGGCCCGCACTGCGATGCGGTCAGAAGCAGCCCCCCGCCGCCTCCCTGCGCCCAGAACCCCCTGCACCCCAGTCCGTCCCACTCCGCGTGCAAAGAGCCGGTCGTCTACCCCTGGATGCGCAAAGTTCACGTGAGCACGGGTGAGTGCGTGGGCACCCCTTCCCCCTCCCACCCCCGGAGCTTTACACCGAAGGGACCTCTGAGGCATTGGGGGGGGGTGAGCTGGGGGAAGCCAATTGTCCCCGCTATAAACTCGCCATTGCCAGAGATTTACGGTCGCCTGTTTTCAGAGCCACATAATTACATCCCCCATAAATTTTTATGGCCTGGTGGGCCCTGCGCCTTTGAAGTCGGTTCTCCATCCTCTTCGCCATTCTCACCAGCGACTTTTTCACCAGGGAGATGCAGTCTCAGTGAAGTTGGAAGTTGGGGAGGGGTGTGGGAGGTGGGGGAGGAGAAGGAGGAGGAGGTGATCTGTATTTAAGCAGAGTTGAGTCAACTCCCAGTATTTACTTATTCCTTTCTTCCAGTCTGACTCCTTGGCTGGAGAAGTGGGCAAAAGTTTTTACCCGGGGCAGGCACTGCTTGGAATCCGAGAGGAAGGAGAGCGAGGGGAGGAACTAAACAGAGGAAAGGTTTAGGGAAACCCCCTCCCTCTTTTCCACCTTTCATTCTCCCATTCCAGGGGGGCCCTGGCCAAGGGGGAGAGTGAAGCCATTAAAATCCTGGGGAGGTTCTTCACTCCTGTCCCCCAGACACCCAAACAGCAACCAGGACAGCACAGCCCTCCAAAATTTGGGGATCTCTCTCTTCCTTGGGTCCCGCTTTCTTCCCTTTTTGGTTTTTTTCCCCCTTTGAAGGAAGCAGAGGTGGCGGGAGAGAGAGGGAGGGAGGGAGACACTGTGTTAGCTGGAAGAAAAGGCTCTCCCTCCTCCCATTCGGGGATAATAAAACTTTCTCTTTCTCCCTCTCTCTGTGTGTGTCCAGTAAACCCCAATTACGCCGGCGGGGAGCCCAAGCGCTCTCGGACCGCCTACACTCGCCAGCAGGTCTTGGAGCTGGAGAAGGAATTTCACTACAACCGCTACCTGACGCGGCGCCGGAGGGTGGAGATCGCCCACGCGCTCTGCCTCTCGGAGCGCCAGATCAAGATCTGGTTCCAGAACCGGCGCATGAAGTGGAAAAAAGATCACAAGTTGCCCAACACCAAGATCCGCTCCGGTGGCACCGCAGGCGCAGCCGGAGGGCCCCCTGGCCGGCCCAACGGAGGCCCCCCCGCGCTCTAGTGCCCCCCTTGAGGGAGCCGCGAACCTCGGGGTGGGGGTGGGCAGCGAGCGCGGGGGGTGTGGGGGTGGGAGGGGGCCCCGGGGCCTGGGCCTGGAAAAACCTACCTGCCCTCCCCCAACTTTATCTATATAGGAATAAACGCAGAAGAGGGGGAGGGGAAGCTTTATTTATAGAAATGACAATAGGGAGCCAGGGAGGCCCCCCAGAAGCAAGGTTCAAGTCTTCTGCTTTCTTCCTTAAAAGAAAGGAAGGAAGGAAGAAAATACGAAAGAAAGAAAGAAAACAAAGAAGAAGGAAGAAAGAAAAAAAACAGGGAAATAGGAGGAGGCTGCAGCTCTTCGTTTTCAGCTTTGGTGAAGATGGATCCACGTTTCATCTTTAATCACGCCAGGCCCAGGCCCATCTGTCTTGTTTACTCTGCCGAGGAGAGGACGGGTCTCGGTGGCGACCATTACCTCGACACCCAGCTAACAAATGAGGCCCGGCTCCACCGCCGCCGCCTCTGCTGCTGCCGCTGCTGGAAGACAGCCTGGATATTCTTTCTTTGTCCCCCACTCCTGACACCCAGCGAAAGCACCCTCTGACTGCCAGATAGCGCAGTGTTTTGGCCACGGTAACAAACACATACATAACCTCCCTCCTCCTCCGTGCCCTTCACGGGGGGACTGTGACTGCTCACCCCCTTCCACCTTGGGGCTGGGGGGCCTGGGGAATAGAAGGAAGGGGACAAGTCGGGGAGAGGGCAGCCTTGACAACACAGGAGCGAGCAGGCAGGGAAATTGAGTCCAAGGAAAAAAGAGAGACTCAGAGACCGGGAGGGCCTTCCTCTGGAAGGCCAAGCCATGCCTGGCAGCCTGAGGGGCCAGTTGAATTCTGGGAGCCGGGTACCACGCTCTCACCAATCCAGAGTTGTACAGTGGAGGCCTCTCTCCTAGACTGAAAATGAATGTGAAACTAGGAAATAAAATGTGTCCCTCCCAGTCTGGGAGGAGGATGTTGCAGAGCCCTCTCCCATAGTTTATCATTGTTGCATCGTTTATTATTATTATTACTATTATTATTATTGCTATTATTTTATGTCGTGTGCGTCCTCTCTCCTTTTCTCTTTCTGACATTCCAAATCGGGCCCCTTCCCATTTCTGGGGCTGCTTGAGTCTAGAACCTTTCGTTGATGTGAAATTGTGTGTCCTGTACAGAGTGACAATAGAAATAAATGTTTGGTTTCTTGTGACCAGCACAGCGTGTTTTTGTTGAAACCTTGATGTAAAGATATGGACTAATGCCACCCAGCATATATTTTAAGCACCCTAGTGGGTTCAGCCTCACATTGTATGTGGTTGAAGATTTTCTTCAAGGAGTCTGATGGGAATTTCTATCTCAGAGGGCTCCAAATTGTGGTAGCTCGTTTGTTTTCCTTTTGGGGTGGGTGTGTTTTGTTTGGGGCTTTTAATTTTTTCCCTCCAGTCCAAAAATGGATTGAAAGGACTGGGAGGGCTGATTCCAGTCCCTAATGGGGGAAAATGTTTCATTGTAGGACACAAGAGGCTTAAGTACGGAAAAGCCTTTCATATCATGATTTATTTGTCATAAGCAAATAAAATGCGGTTAAGCTGTCTCCTACTAGACAGACGGCTCTTTGGTTATTAAAGTTCCGAGAGAGGATTCTGCGAGGCCGGCCTCTTTCCTCCCAGCATAAGAAGGTATCGCTTTCCTCTGAGGTGTTTAAGGCTTTAATGAGTCTAATTTTTTGCACAGCTGTTTCTGGGTGTTTGCAGGTTTTCGGAGTATTTTTATATTACAAAGGAGCTAGCCGGTGCCATAGCTCAAACTCTGACAAGCAAATAGATAATCAAGAAGACAAATGGCCTCTTTTGTGAAGCCCTGCTCCTGTATTAATTTTCATTTTCTTTCTCATAGAAAGTATCGAAAGTACGACTGGGGACCAAATAGCTTTTTGTCTCTGAGGTCCCAGTCACCCCTAGAATAGAATGGGGGAAGGGGAAAGGGGTGCGGGTGACCCTTAGAAGCTTTGTCAGGCTTGGGCCGCTTTTGTGCAGCACCATGGAAAAGTTCTAAGGTCTGGGGACTCCAGCCTTCAGGTCTCTGGTCTGGTGGTAACCCAGGGTGCAGCCACCTCGCCTCCAAAAAGCTCAGGGCTCCGAAGAGCATGTGCAATTAAACGTCGTTTTTTTCCATCCCATCTCTTCAGAAAATAAAAAGAGCCAATCCCATCTGTACATTTTATTCTTATTTATTTTGCATTCCTCTGGTTTGCAGCGCCGGTAGTTGGAGGCTGAGTAGGGCCGGGAACCGATGGGGCCGGTGTCCCCAGCAAGGGAAATGGTGGTTGAACTGCCCGTTTAAATGCTGCTGGGAGAGTCATAAAAAAATTACCCTGGACCTGGAGGACAAGAGGGGCAGGGGCGAGCTTTGTTTGGTAGGATCGCGGTGTGATGTTTTTAGCTGCAAGAGGATGCGGCAGCCTTTAGTCTAGGGGGAAAATAGTTCTTAAAAAGCATATGCCCCCCCAGGAATGTCTCTAAAGAACCAAATCAAAGCTGCTTCTTGGAAGGTATGAATAGAATTTTTAAAAAGAGATTTCTATGGAGCTTAAAGTTCACAGCCATTCTGTGTAGACAAGAGCTAAGAAAAATGTGAGAATTATACAGAAAACCATTAATCACTTCTTTTCTTTAAATACGTATCCTCTCTCCTTTGTTATTATTCAACAGCAAATCTCCGCAGACCGGCTGTTGGGGGAAAAAAGTGTTAGCCGTCTCTCCCGGATCTGCCAGGGGGAAAAAATTTGGAACCATAAAGTTGAAAACTTTTTTCTCTCAGTTTGGAAGAAGCCGTTCGTCATGAATGGGATCTGCGGAGCTCAGGCGAGAGGAGGCGAGAGGCGCAAAGGTAACAAAGCCCGGGTCCGGGCTGGCGTTGTTTTTTTTTTTTTTTTTTTGATCGTTTTATGAGCTCTTTTCACAAGCGAAAGAAGAAACACTCTCTCGCCTCCTCCTTTTCCTTTTTCAACTATCTTTGCTGGGTTTTTATGGTGGACGCTTCGGCAGATTTGCTGCCTTTTATGATGACGGATGCTTGGGTCTGAGCGAGAGAGAGGGGCCTGGAAACCTGGAGAGTGTTTGAACTGGTTGGGACAGAGGTGTCAGGGCCCCTGAAGAAGCCCAGAAAAGAAGGTTGTTTGTCAGGCAGCTCAGAAGAACTTTTCAGATTTTGGAAAATACAGGTGGGCATGGTGAGCCCCAGCGTGTGTGCAGGAGTATGACTACAGAGGTGCACATGTGGTCCGAGCGTTCCTGTGACTCTGTCTATCTGCACTGGGGACTTGTGTCCCCTATGCCTGTTTACCGGTGAGATGTTGTCACTGACGCCAGTTCTCAGATGGAATGCCCCAGCCTTGGAGCGGGTATAAGTGGATGTGTTCGTTTTTTTCTTCTTTTGTCTAGCTTGGGATTCTAGACAAATATGTGCTACTCTGTGCAGCAGGAAACTGCTCAGTTCACAAGGCGAGGTGCATTGACGCAGAAATATTCCTCTTCTGCTCTGCCCGCCCCCCCTTCTTCCTGAAGTGTTCACTTTGGTTTCCTCTTGTTCTCTTGGTTTGGGGGCTCTGCTCTCCTCTGGGGCCCTGCTCCTCAGGCCCAGGGAGTCAGTGCACTCTGCAGCAGACCAGAATGCGCCGGCCCTTTTTCCCTGAGGCCTCACTTAGGGTTTGGAGGCGGGAGGCTGGCAGGAGAGAGAGTTCATGGAGAGGCCACGTTTTCTAGGCGATTAGCTCAGTATTAGAACCACAAAATGACCTCGGAAGCCCCTTGACCTCTCTGAGACTGGACATTGTGCTGGCTCTTGCCTCCTGCCCAGGAGGGAAAGTCACACCTCTGCAGGGAGGAGTCCTTGGACTGTCATATGTCCCATCTTCTCCATCCCCCTCTAGCCTCCAAACCCTTCTTTGCTAACTTGGAATTTCTGGGTTATTTTTCTATTATTGTCCATTGAGGAGAAAAGGAATAAAAACTTTATCCTGAGGGTCCAGTTGGGAGAGGAAAGTAGGGTACTGATCTGTTTTTCTATACACAGGCCCTTCCCTAGGCCAGGCACCAACCACCTCCCCCTGCCATGTCCTGTTCATTCTCCTTTCTTGTTTCTGCTTGGAGGGAGCTGAGGGAAGAAAGACAAAGAGAGAAGACATGAGATGTTAGAAGGGCTCAATCCACAGAGCTTCTGAAGGCCAGAGGAATAAGCCCCTGGCTTGTAAGGAGAGAAAGGGCTCCCACCAAGAATATTCCTTTGGAGGTTGCCATCTCTCTGAGGGCTGACATCCAAATCCACAGCCTCTCAACCCATTTTCTGAAGTTCCTTTGTTTAGGAAGCTATTTCTATAGTCGTCTTTACCTTCTCACCCTAAGCCACATCTCCCACGTGCAGAGGCCTTCAGTGCCTCACCCATCAGAGGAGCAAGAGAAATGGGAGGAGGATTAGTTCGGGCTGTTCTGACCACTTTCCAGGGCCAGCTCTGCCATGTTAACCAAGGTTTCCAGAAACTTAATTTTAAGAGATGGGTGGAAGATTTGCTGGGAGGTAAGCCCTGAACACAGAGCCTTTCTAAATCTGTATACTATTTGCTGTATCTTGAAAATCCATACCAGCAGCCATCCTTTTAGGGAGAGACAGAGACAAAGAGGGAGAGAGACAGACAGACAGACAGACAGACTCTGGCTGGACAGAGGAAACGCTCCCCTAGGGTTAAGATTAGGAGAGACAGAAGCTTGCTGGCATATGTGTGGGTTGTTGGTTTGCATTTTGAAAATTGTTTCCTGTAATTTGGGGACTCTGTCTCGGGCAAGAAATAATTGGAGTGGTCGGTATCCTCTCCTTTGTCCCTGGGTGGCATAAGTGTAGGGGCTGGAGGCCTCAGGAAGGAAAGAGGATGAGCAGAAAGGCAAGCTGGGTCCCTTCTGGACTGAAAATATTTTGGCATCGGGAAGATGTGTGTTCATTACCCGTAAGGACAGTTAACTAATTGTGGACCCTCTATAGGCCCAAGTGACAAAGACCTAGTTGCCTGGGACTTTTCAAACTTCTCGCTGCAACGTGAGGGTTAGTGGCTCACCAAAGGAAAAGAGGAGGGGGATCACAGACAAGGACGGTGGAGGTTCACTAAAGGATTTCAGCATCACCGGCCCAAACTGCAAGATCTCCCCTTTCCTTCACTCCCAGACAACTCTAGTGCCGCCCTAGTCCTCCCAATCTTTTGACCTTTCTCCCTCTTTTCCTCCCAGTTTCCTGGGCCCTCCCTACTCTCTCTCCTACTTTCACCTGCCTGGCCCAGGCAGAAGGGGCTGCCCAGTCCTGCCAGAGCCCTCCGAGGCAGCCCCCCCCCCCCGCCCCCGCACCGGTGGTAGTCTCAGTGGTGGTGGCAGGTCTCCCTGAGAAGCGGAGGCTGAGGAGGGGGTCTGGTTCGAAAACGGAGTTGGGAAGTTTCCCAGCGTGAGTTGAGCGCTGACGGATTTGTGATCAGCCATAAAACTGGCGCGTTCAGATTCGTAAATCAATCTCGGCTTTCTCACAGTCTAAACGTTCGCTTTATCGGCAGCAAGAAAGCGCTCAGCTCGCGCTCAGGCGCTTGTTTATTTGAACGTAGAGATTCCCAGGGTCTGCAAAGAGTGTGGGCATTTTAATAGAACCTGCTCCGCGTGCCTTCGCATCGTTTTGCTGTTCTTTTTCTCGTCCTTAAACATAATATTATCTCAGTTTCAGAGATTGCTGTCTTCCCATGTCCAGCATATTATATTCATATTCTCATTCACATTCATTCTCTCTCTCTCTCTCTCCTGCCCCCACCTCCTATTTTTGTTTTAGACTTTAGCGGAGTGTTTTTCTTTGGAGGACCATTTTTAATGGATTTGTGGCCAGAACCTTGCAGGGAGTTGCCCTCGCTGGAGCCGGGATCAGGCTGAATTCAATACCAGTCTGTGTTTTGTATCTGGACAATCAAAGCCGACCACCCCCTCCCTTACAGAGTCTGGGCCCCGCCGGCGCCCCAACCCCGCGCGGCGCGAGCGGGATTCCAGCGCCTTTGGTAGGGGCGGCGCAGCCTCTGCAGCTGGAACGTCCGAGGCTGAGGCCGCCGACATCGGGATGGCTGTTTCTTTGGGGTTTGTTAAGACAACTAGGTCCTTAGGTCCTCAACCTTCTCCCCATTGAGTTGCTTTTGATTCAGACCTCTCCAAATTAAACCAGTGGAGGCCCTTCTGCCCCATGCTCTCCTAAACTAGAGCACATTTTTTCTTCCCCCATTCCCTGCCTGCCCAGGCGGCTGTGGTCCAGGCTACCCCGAGAGCTGCTGAAGACAGATAAGGCTGGGAATGTGCAGTCAGGGGCATTTTTAGGAATGTCTTTTCTGCTTCCCTTTGCACCCCTACCCCCACCCCATGCTCAGGCCAAGAACTCTGATTCTGGTTGCAACTGTTCAAGTTTGGGGGATTTTTTGTTTTGTTTTGTTTACGTTGAGGTGAAGGGGTCTGCATAAGTATCTCTCCTTAGGCCTAGGGGATAGATTTCCCCTATCCCTGGTGTTTAACCCTTTAACATGCATACCTCCCATCTTTTTCCCATTGATCAGTCTCCATTGTCTGCTGATTGGAAGCTCAGGGTACTAACACCTGGGAAACAGGGACCCTGGGGCTGCCAGGCAGACTTCAAAGCTCTTCTTTCCTTTCCCTCTGCTCCTGTTCAAATCTCCAGCTGTCTTCCCTGGTGTGTCTGGGGGGGCAGGGAGGACAGAGACAGGGTATGACATAGGTAATAGAGGCTGAGTGTCTACTTCTTTTGTGTAGAAACCTTAGTCCTGGTCTTTGTCTCTAGAGCCTATTTTCAAACAGTCAATAGAATCTGGCTACCTATGGTAGTAATGACACAACGGAAAAAAAAGTCCCCTTTGCAGTTATCCTCAACTCTGGAAGCTCCAGAGTCATCGCTTCATGCTGTCCTTTTTATGCCCCTTCAAAAGGTACCAGAAAAGATCAAAAAGAGAATTAAAGCCAGAAGTGCCATTCTTTATACATATATAACATGGGCTTATGAAGTGTTTCTTTTCAAGCTGATCCCTTCAGAAATTTTGTTGATTATTTAGGAAGAGAGCGAGTGGGTCCCACTAAAACAAATAGCCCAGGAGTGGGGGAGAAAGTGGAGCTGGGGAGGGAATCTTAATCTTAAAGGATGCGGAGAGAAGAATCAGAAGCTGAGAAATCCAGGGGCTTGGAGAAGGGCTCCGTGCCCACCCCACCCCCACCCCTCAGACGCCCCTGCAGACTACTTCTGCACCTCCACAAACTAAGCAGAAGCAGGAGGAGAAGGGAGAGAGGAGAGGTGGGCTGTGGGTAAGTGTGTGCCTGGGGGGGTTAGGGAGCTGTAGAGGTAGTAGGTACAGATATGAGTGTGGGAGAGAGAGAACTCTACTATTCCATTGGTGGGGGGGAACTTATTTTGCAGGAAAATTTCTCCTCCTGAAGGGGAAGGTCATAGTGGTCCTTTGAGCCTGAAATCGAAAGACCCCCTTCCCCCTCCCGGTCACGTGATTCATTAAATAATTAATGCCGAGGTTGCAGAATAGATATGTATTCGTCAGGAAAATCGCAGGCTCGGTCTCCCTGTTTCTGACGTGCAATTCAACTGTCCTTTGAAAAACAAGCCTGTACCCCGAGAAAAAAAAAGAGAGAGGGGGAGAGAGAGAGGGAGAGAGAGAAAAAGAAAGGGAGGCAGCAATAAAACAGCCCCGCAGCCGGAGCCACACCGCGGGCTGGGGTATTGTAAGTAGAAGGGATTTCTCACTACCTACCGCGTCTTATATGTCCATGTAAATTTATTGTTTGTTATTAATGTTATTGTCGTAA